AAGTCTTGCGATGACAAAAACTGATTGGAGCACCTTTTGAAATGTGTTTCTAGCAAAAGTACTTTTACATTGTAAATCTTAGCGCTCATTCTTGTTTTTCATTAAAACACACCGTTTCCATTGAAGCACATTGCTGTAATTAAAATCATTGCATTTTATATCAACAGTAGTGTTTTAGTATTTTTAGAAAAGTGTTTTAGGGAGTTTTTAAAACACTTTTTGATGAAACTTAAGCACAATAAAATTGTAAACACACCAAAATACACTTTTTTTCAATATAAAACACAGAATGTTTAACGAGGACATTAATGTGTCATTGAAGTGTTTATTGATAGGCCATTTATGCAAGCGGTATTGGCAAAATTGAGTGAAGAGTCCTGAGACTCGTAAGTGAATAGTATGGTATATATATATATCGCTTAGACAATCACCGAAGGTGACCTGGTTCAATGAATAATGAGATAAGTCATGACATTACCCTCAGAAAACAATTTTATGTCAAGGACCAGGTTGTGGAAGAATCAATTGTATGTATGCTTACCGATTATCGGTTTTAGTATTTTCAATAATAAAAAGCTTTATATATTCATATATTTTGCGAGTGTGCGTACCTGTCACAAGTTAAATAACCGATGAAATTAAACATTAACGGTGTTGTTATCAATTGCTCGAATTAATATGTAACACTTAAACCCATACGTTTCATTTCATATGTTAATTTGCGAAGTTTATAATTTATGATAGTTTTTGCAGTCAATTATTAAATATAAAGCTTCTGGTAGTTGTAGCTTACGAAACAGTGGTGTAGAGTTTTATTATTTATGTAGTTGTGTCTTAATTCCTGTATCACCATGTATCACTATCATCAGTTCTGTATAGCGACAATTAAACTACAATATTTTGCACACAATGGCACAGAGCATTACCCCACAACTGCATAGTGGCTTTTGCGCCGAAAATATTAAAGTGAGAACCAGACAGAAGGAAGTCACCTATAAAAACAAGTCAAATAACTATTTTCATTCTACATAATACATCACATAGCTGTCAATAGACTTCGTTTAAATACAGGCCAATCAGTAACCTTAACTTCGGTAATAGCGTCCTCTTCGTCAAAAACGAATAGGAAGTAAAAAAAATGATCTCAACTCTAGAGGGCTTCAGTCATATTCATGAGAAAAGTGTTTGATATTATAAAAAGTACTTTTAGAAAACAGACCCTTCATCTGATAATGAAAAGCACAGATGTTTGGATACACATGTTTCTTTTTAGACGGCTGATACAGTCACTGGGTGGTGTAGTCATCAGAATTTGAGATACATACATCATGGTGATTGTGAAATACCTTAGAATGTGCTGAGCCCAGTGTTGTTGGCAATGAAAAAAGATACAACCCGAGTCTCCTATTTTAAATTGATAGAGCTTGGATAAAAAGTGGTTTATTCCACTACCAAAATTGTCATTCTCTGTACACTGATTTGTTTGCTATTTCGAGATAACTAAAACATTTTGTAGGATACATTTTATTGTTTGCATGGCCATAATTCAGTAGTAGTATTTAAGTTGAGACTTGTGTGAAAACCTTTAGTCAGGAAGGTGACCTTACTTGATCCTGTACCATCTTGTGATGCTGATTC